GCAAGATCCGGTCCCCACCGAGAGCCCTCACCGAGGCAGCAGCAACAAAAACAACAAAACAACCGTCTCACAGAAACATCTTGAAAGATCCCTTGACGCATCCAATGCCCTCAAACCATGTGCTTCGACTTCTGCTCAGACAAACGTCGCCCACATTGATCGTCATCTTCGACCGTTGTTGCCTCTGAACTCGCCATACTGGAACACGATTTCCGCTTCTCATCAATGTCTACATCACTACTCTCAAGCCCTTTTGGGAATGTCACAAGTACCAGGCGATAGGAACGCAAAAGAAAACCGACCAATATCCATGTATCCTCAATTCCCTACACCTGCACCTCGACCATTATACTACAAGCGTTCTTCTGATCCACGAACTCTGCCGCCTCTGTTTGCCAATACCGATCTGACAATCACTAGAGCTCGTCAATCAATTCAATCCACGACTAACGATGCTATTCCGACCTCGATCGCAACTTGGACTCAAACTTCTGAGCACTCTTTCGTTCAAACTATGACCCAATCGCCTGAATTGCCTACTGTTGAAAATCTGGACGAAACTCGATCTGATGATCAGCCTGGTTTTCTGTTTGATTCTACTACAGCACCTCTGAAGTATCTTGACGTTCTAGCGCCATTCCCCGACCAAAACCTCTCTATGGACGAGATGATGAATCGCTTGCTTGACCCGCAACTCGCGGTGGAAGATCCGTTTCAAGCAGCAATGGGGCTCGTATTCGCTTCGCAGCTGGGACTGAGCTGGGATTATTCATGATGAGGAAAGTCTTCGTGATGCTGGTCTGCTTGCTGTGTTTTCTCTCGTGTCAAGTCCTATCGCTACTAGATCGCTTTTGTGTTACATTGTACCCTTTGACATCGTCATTGTAGAAGCTCCGTCCTCAAAATGACCTTGCAACATTACAATCCGAAGAAAACCGGAAAACTTAGATTTAATGGGGCAATGGACAAGTAGAATGAAACAGGAACGGATAATGTTTTTGTATTATAATAAATACGGCTGGCTTGTCAAGGTCTATCAACACTAAACAATACGTGTGACTGGGCTCTTGAAGTACAACCACAAGAAAGGCCTTGGCAACCCAAAATTTCGTGTACCGAGGCTTGACAATATCTAGAGAGTAGAGTGGAATAAGCCATCGAGGGAGTAGTGGTCGAGGTCATTGTAGATGCCGACGTTGAATGGACGCTTTCGGATGCCGGTCTGACCCGGTGTTTGAAAGTTGTGACCGTCGAAAACGTCGCTACCACCAAAGTCCTCGTCACCTATGTCGTTCGTCGCCGCCGCTCGTCAGTCTCTCACGTCGACAGCCCGTGCGTCACTGCGGAACGCGTCGTCGACCTTCCGTGCCGGTGCGCGTCGCATGAACTCATCACATGCTGCCTACGCCCCCAAATCGGACAAACCCTGGATCGTGTGTCGTATTTCGTTATTGATTGTTTCCTTCAAGTCTCATTGCTATAATCTAGATTGGCTCTGCCCTCATCTTTGGCCCTGCTGTAAGTAGCACGAAGCGTTTACGCAGATCTAAACAAGGCCTAACCCCCCCTAAACAGTTTCTATACCTCCTTTCCCCTTCTGCCCGCAAAAACACAGGACATGTTCACAATGACGCGCACGATTTCCCCGGCCACAAAAAACATGCCCCTGAACCAGTTGCTAAGCAAACTGCGTCTGAGCCTGAGCCCGAGGCCGAGACCAGGTCTGAACCTGAGCCTGAACCTGTAGCAGCAGAGCCGGAACCAGTTTTGATGAAGGACGATGAAGGGACAGAGGCAAATATTGCGGATTCCCTTGCTGCATCGGTGCGCCTATTCTCCCTCCACTCACATAAATTTGTTGCTAACTTTGACTGTCTGGATTCTGGAAGGCTGATGATGTGCCCAAAGCTGATCCCGTCAGCCAGGAAACCGCCGCCTCCGAGGCCTCCGAGGCTCCCGCAGATGAACCTAAGGGTCCCGCCGACTTGGGCGAAACTAGGAAGGTTGCTACGGTGAGCCGCAGTTCCATAGATTGGCTTTGAGCGTAGGCGATGTGACACTTGTTTTTACAGGCGGGAACTGAGCAAAAGAAGGCAGAAGGCGAATCCTCTTGAACAGGTTGTCTTGTTAGACGCAAATGATGATTAAATCGTACATGGATATGTTCTCGATGAACTTTCGTCTCGCACTCAGTCCTATTCGTAGGTCGCGATTTACGCCTACCGATGCGTCGTATGCGTCATGAAATTCGAGTGTCAGAAGAAGCCATGATCTAACAAGGAAATAAGTCAAATGAGTAACATCGCGACGCAAACGCAAAGAGATGCAGCATTGCGAGAGGAATTATTTCTTCTTTCAGATCTTCAGGGGTCCGTTGATTGATTGTGTCAACCAGAAATGGATAATAGGTGTGCAAGCTAGATGTAAAGTACTTGCCCCGCGAACCTAGTTTCATACTAGGAACGTTCCTCCCACGTTTGGAAGGATGCTTATGTGAGGCTACCCATGGGTGTCTTCATTTTCGTGCCAACAATCAACTTAGGCCGCCTGACTTTGAGACGATCGTCGTGCCCTGTGCCACATTCTGAAATCATTCGACATGAGCTCACCAGGTTTGTTGCATCCTGTAATTAAGGCAAGTTACAAGCATCAACACCCTGTGTTCTTGGGGTTTCTAAACGCCCCCGTAGCGTCTAGTTGACCTTTCACTTGAAAATCCAACCAAATATCTGCCTGTTCTCATGGAACGAGTTCAATCGGACAACTTCCTGTCACTACATCCCCGTATCTTAGATTTGTTAATACGACAACTCAAGCCGCCTCCGTTCCCTGCCGACTTTCAACCAGGTCACGGAATAAAGAGCTCATACCACCAGGCACATAAGGATCGCATCAACATGGCTCTGTTGGGAATACAGGGCCTTTTTGTGGCCGTGGCTACTGATTTGGAGTTTGCCAAGATGCTTCTGCAATCATGGTCTGTAATTTGGCCGTGGATGGATTTCCTCTATCATTTCGTCCCTTGCCCAGGAAGGAATGATTCTATAGAACCAACACAAGATGAACTTACCGCACTGTACTTTTTGGAACGGCTACTCCTTGCATTCTTCCGCCCATCCTATCCAGTTGATCGCGAGATTCTATCGACAAAAGGGGTTCTCAAAATATTAGCTGAAATGTTCATCCGCCAGGGTGTTCGTCCGCCTAATTCCACTGTTCTTCCAAAAAATCACCTTGCCAGTCTAAGCCACGCTCTCCTGTCATTTCTCGAGTCTCCATTCTCAGATAAACAGGAACTTGTGGATTTTCTTGGTTCCAATAATGGCCACTTCGCGAGAAGGATGTTTTATCCTGTTCACCAGGCAGCCTACGGAGGAGCACCATGGATGGAATGTTATCCCTATGTCGTGGATGTCCATTCTTCCCTTTTCACTCACGTTACGTGTGTCTACGAATCGCTTCCGACCAAAGGAATTGTGCGAGACGTCTGCCATGCACTTTCGTACTTCACTTCACTACTCGCTCCCGATTCTGGCACCAATGTACCTAAAAAAGAAAGTATCGCAATTGAGTGTGCCGCGGCTTCCCTTAGACTCTTGGTGAAGCATGGTCTGGTTGCTCAAGATCATATCTGGATCATTCAGTTGCTGCGCTTTGACTTTGTTCTTTCTCTACTCAAAGGTGCACGTCATTGGGACACACATGGGCTCGAAAATTACTACGAGTCCTTGCTCAGAGAGATTGCGGTGTACTCTGTCTTTCCTGTAGTTTTGAAACCTGTTGGCCAGGTTTTGGAGTCTAAAGATATTCTAGCTCCGGAAACAAGAATCCCAAAAGACTGTCGCTTCTTCTTGGTATGGACGAAATGGATACAATCCATGAGAAATATTCAAGAGTGCAAGATGGAGTTTATCTTACTTGGAAGATATAAAAGGATATGTGGCTATCCCCAGGTATTTCTTGCCATTCGTTCTTGATGTTCGAATACAATATTAATGGTGATGATAAATATAGTGTGGCGTGGTCGAACAAACAGTCATGCATAAGTCCTGTGGTAGGTGTAAGGGTATCCGATACTGTTCCAAGTCGTGCCAGAAAAAAGATTGGGCAGTTCACCGAACCATGTGTGGCCCGGACGAAATCAGTAAGGCCAGCATTTTGCTGAACCTCTTTCACTCATTTTCTCTGAAGGATGTCCCCCACTGTCATCACAGCGTACACTTGGCTTTCTACATTTCCTTGCTGAGAAGGTAATGAGAGCCCATAAATCCGAAATCATCAGGCGTCGAGATGAAATTATCTCACAACTGACAGCGAGGGAGCCACTCGCATTGCGTATCGATCTCGCTGAGATGGGGTCACCAACTGTTCAATTGCTCTCCACGTTGGATCAGCCACCAAGGTTCTCGCCCCTTCCTCGCGTCCACTCACTTCTTTTGCCGTATATCATCATTCGCTATGGAAAGGCACACCGGCAATGTCCAGGCGATGTGAATCTAGCCGGAGAGCTCTTTGGGTGGTTTGATCGTGGCGAGACAAAGCAATTAGAGTATAAGTGACTAACATATTAGGGAAAGAAAAGGAAATCACGGAATCTGCAAGTAGAATTGATTTTCTTCAAATTGTTAACGCTCATATTTGTGCCCATGATCCCCTGCACTTCTGATCAATGTGACCTAGAACAAACATGTCGATGCCTCTTCGATTCAAGGAGAGCTCAGGAGAAACACCACGACGTCGATTCTAGAGGTCAGCGTTATAACTTTTGCTGGTTGTCAATAGCGATCTTCCAGTCATGTAAAGTACGTAGACTTGAGTATAGTAGCAGTATGTACAATTTGTTTGCTGCTGGGTGTTGAAAGCACCGCTGAAGGATCAGTGAAGACGGTCATGATAGACGCCAGCCTCCGGCTTGTACTTCATTTCCTAGGAGATGGGGCATCAACTTTTTTCATCCTGACCCTTCTTTTCATGTAAGCATATTATTGTTATTTTAATATGCCCGCCTAGCTCAATCGGCCAGAGCGTCAGACTTTTACGGTGAATTGACCGATTCATCTGAAGGCTGCGAGTTCGACCCTCGCGGTGGGCTTATTGTGTTGGTTTTTGTGACTTAGTGTATTCCTGTAACAAGTAGTATTTTGTGGAAACTTAAAAATGAGGAAAGTGATGGTTTGAAATGTACTGGTACACTCTTCAAGTTGTCTACCATCAGTGCTGGACTCCATAATTCTAAATAGTTCCACCAAGTGAGCCATGCACACTTAGACCACCCACTATAAGTATGGATAAGTCACAGTAGTGACACATTGAATGGTAGATGTTTATACCCACCATACATATAGGGAGGCAACTGGTTGGGGACCATGACAGATTGAATTGTGCAGAGCAATGCAACTGAGCCTCAGTTGCGCATGACAGGGCCAAATTAAGCAACCTGGCAAGTTGTGATGGCAAGTTGTGACACATTTTATGTTTATTGTCATCATAGTTGTTATTATTATAATACTTTTGCTCCTATGCAATTGGCAAGGATGCCATTTACATAGGGTAGGGGATAGCTGTCAGGAGTTGTGTGTGTAAGTTCAGGGTCTGGAAATTGTTGACCCATCAAGGTAGCACAGTTTGGTCTGCTTTGGAAATTATAAAGGAGGGGACCTATACTCTGAGGAAGAGGGATGAGTCCAACCTGCTGCATGTTAAAAATCCAGACCAATGACCAAGTGTATAACTAAGAACAGTTATTAGAACAATTCCTCAGTCCGGTATAAGAGACTCTATTAGACTATACCTAAGAAC